TATCTTACCAATTCCAAACCACATCAATCTTAATAACTGCTATTATTTTTGTATTTAATAATTTAGAAGTGATACTGTATATAATTGTCCGTGAAGGCTAGAAATGAAAAACTCCTTATTAAGGTGTGCAGAATTATTAGGCAGGTTGTTTTTTACGGATGAAATGAGCCAAAAAAAAAGAGAAAACCAGTTTTATCAGTATTTTAGAAATTGTATTTGAATATTACCAGTACTGATTTCAATGGATTTCATTAAATTCCTTTGAACACAACTGCTCAAAGCGGTCTAAATTTATGAAACCTACACATTCAAAACATTATTACTCTGAAATGTTTAATGTAAATGTTAAGTGTAAGTGGTGAAATGTTAAGTACTGTAAGGTCTTTCATGACACTACATATGCTGGGGTGTGAATTTGATAGGTGCTTGATATAAAATAAATGGTGCTTGAAAAAGTCCTTGAAAGTCCTTGAATCTGGTGTTCATGAAAGAGTGGGAACCCTGCATTCACTGCCACAGCAAAAGTTCCAGTGGTGTGCTTTTGAAGATTTCTTGAGTGTTCTTCCTTTTCTGTGTGCAACCATGCATAGCATTTCCATAAAAATAGATGCAACCATGCATAGCACTTCCATAAAAATAAATGCAACCATGCATAGCACTTCCATAAAAATAGATGCAACCGTGCATAGCACTTCCATAAAAATAGATGCAACCGTGCATAACACTTCCATAAAAATAGATGCAACCGTGCATAGCACTTCCATAAAAATAGATGCAACCGTGCATAGCACTTCCATAAAAATAGATGCAACCGTGCATAGCACTTCCATAAAAATAGATGCAACCGTGCATAGCACTTCCATAAAAATAGATGCAACCGTGCATAGCACTTCCATAAAAATAGATGCAACCGTGCATAGCACTTCCATAAAAATAGATGCAACCGTGCATAGCACTTCCATAAAAATAGATGCAACCGTGCATAGCACTTCCATAAAAATAGATGCAACCATGCATAACACTTCCATAAGAATAGATGCAACCATGCATAACACTTCCATAAAAATAGATGCAACCATGCATAGCACTTCCATAAGAATAGATGCAACCATGCATAGCACTTCCATAATAGATGCAACCATGCATAACACTTCCATAAGAATAGATGCAACCATGCATAACACTTCCATAAAAATAGATGCAACCATGCATAGCACTTCCATAATAGATGCAACCATGTATAACACTTCTATAAAAATAGAGTAGATCAGCTATTGTTTGGATGTTCTCTTGTTTTTCCATTGACTGGTATGGCTGCTACACCTTTAAGCCTCTCATGTCTTTCTCTGAAACTAGTCTTGATCCAAAATTAGTTCAAAAAGCAGGCAAAGATATTTAATTCCTTCCACAACGGTATTAAATGCAATCCATTTTCATGACCTCTATGTGAGTTTCATTGCCCATTTAGGACTTGACAGAAATGTAATTTTTCCCCACTAGTCAAATTTAAACTCCAGTAGTGATGTTAAAGCTTTTGTGAAAAGAAAAAAACCCAACATGTTTAATAGTGATGCAGTGTATCAGAGCTTGATTGGTTTAATGATTTGTTTTAACATAATTCATGTATGAAGGCAATGTGAACATTGTCTATGAAATAAGTTAAAATATACAGATTGCAGATTTTACGTGTTTGTTTTATTTTACTTTAGTGTCAATACTCCTACACAATAAAATCACTAGAAAAATGACTTGTATACACACACACTCATATATATATATATATATATATGAAGCGTCAGTTTAACATTGAAAGAGCAAGGTAAGACTGAAGTAGCGTAAATATTTAATATTTTAACTTTTACGATATAAATGTTAAACAACCAACAGTAATATCCAGTGATGCAAACTTCTACAATTTTCCTCAAATCTCACCGTTTTGATTTGAAAATATGGTATCATTTATGTGATTCATGTAATTCCTAATGGAATGTGATGAGCCATGAAATATTTTGTGTTTTTGATGCAATGTTCGAGACGTGGTTACGGCCTTGGGCCACAGTAATCCAAAATGACAAAAGTGCAAAAAAGGCCCACATATGAAAGATGCAAAATGTGAAATAAAATGACAGATTTACTAAAAATGACAAAGAAGAACAGCAAACGTTTCACTCACAGCTTGACCTTCTTTAGTGCCTTAACACAATTAGCAAACATCACTGGAATTCCACACTTTATTTTGTCAAAATAAAATCAAACTTGCATCAATTTCATTACAGCAACTCATAATGTAAGTCAGTAGTGAAAGTGACTTGACGTGTAGCCAAGTATGGTGCTCTGCATTTAACCCATCCAAGTGCACATACACACACACACACACAGAGCAGTTGGGGGTTCGGTTCTTGCTCAAGAGTCTCACCTCAGTCGTGGTGTTGAGAGCGCTGGTCATTCACTCCTCCCACCTACAATCCGAGACTCAAACCTGCGACCTTTGGGTTACAAGTCCGACTCTCTACCATAAGGCCACGACTGCCCCCAGTGTATGCCCCCCCATGCCTGTATGCACTCCTGACAATGTCTAGACGTGCTCCTGATGGCACGGCAGACCGTGTACTGGGGGATCTCCTGCCAAGCCTGGATCAAGGCATCAGTGAGCTCCTGGAGCCTCTGTTGCTTCAAAGAAATCTGCTCGATCTCTAAAAACACATGGTCTTCTCATTGCGTGATTGGCAATGTCTTGAAGGAGCGCCAGTGCTGTTATTTGACCTTTTGCAAATCACTGCATTACAGGCCATTGTATTGCCTAGATTAGCCAAAAAAGTTTTCACATATGGAATCAGAATATGCATAATAAATCATTGAACTTTAATGCTGTGTAATTATACGACCAGGGTTTTGGAAAACCATGTATGCATGTTTAATTTTGAACAAATAGCCTAGGGTATATTCTTTCAATCGATAATGAATACTACTGCTACTGCTACAAATAATAAAAATGATCATAATTAGGGATGAACACAATTGAAAAAAAAGTAATTTAAACAATTTTTACAGTTATTTTTTCCAAGCTATTTTTAAAACGTTTGCTGCATGGTTAAGTACGCTATCATAATTGAAAATTTGCAAAATTGCGTTGAGAAAAAAATTATTCTGTAAAGGGTTTTTTCCTTTTGTTTTGTTAGTGTGTTATTTAAGTGAAAGATATTTTGTATAAGCCTGTTTATTTTATTCTTTTTTTTTATATGTAATTTTATTCTGTTATTCTCCGTTCACAGAAGCACTGCAGGTGCGTGATGTGACGATGTCTGAAAACTCATGTTCTGTTGTGTCGCTAAGCACTTTTCCATGTCGAAGACCATTTTTATAAATATGAACGTTGCCGTGGCTTTTTAGCTTATGCACACTCTAGGATCAAATCTATGCATACTCACTTTTTATAAATGAGGTCCCTGGACAGTCTGTGGTGCTACTTGGCAGCTTCGGAAGCTCTAATACATAACGTCCCAGAGGTTCTCAATTTGGATTCAGGTCTGGGGAACATGAAGGTCAGTCAATGGCATCAATGCCTTCATCATCCAGAAACTGCCTACACACTCTGGCCACATGAGGCCGGGTATTGTCCTGCACCAGAAGGAACCCATGGCCCACTATTTAAATGCCTCTACAATTTACCCTAGAGTTCAACTACCCCATCATACTCTTTATCAGGTATGGATTCCAGGATCCCTGCATTCCAGGCTGATGACTATCTCATGACGATCCTCTTACCTAAGAAATAAATGGTATAGAGTTTACAGGTTGTGGTATATTGGTCAAATATGAGTTTAGATGTAAAAACAATTGCAATCAGAAAGATTGAAAACCAAATCTATGAAGATAGCGGATTACCTATATTATAGGTCCTATATGGTCTTCACTGAAAAGTTAGCAAGAAGTA